GCTCTCGGAAACAACCGCGGCTTTAATTTCCTTTCCTTGGCTCGCGTGAGGAGCCGAGGTGCGTAATGGGTTTACCATGAGGCGGACGCGAGTGGCTAGGAGGCCGGGCCAGGCCTGGCGCCTCTGCTTCTGAGATGAACTCGGAGGCGGCCCTGGGGGCTGGGGATGTTCTAGAAACCGGTCTGCGTGGTCTCCGTGGAGGCAAGGTGGACTGAGTGTGACCCCAGACTGCAGACTCACCTCCTGCTCCGGGCTGGGCTCTGGGCACCCATGGTGGAAATAGCCAGCTGGGGTGTTTGTCACCTGGGGAGGGCTTTGGGCTGAGAGGCCTTGGGCCACCCCAGAGCAGGTGGAAGAGGGTCCTGGGAGAGAGGCCTCCTTCCAGCACCTTCCTGGCCCGCTTCATGCAGCTGGGTGGCCCATCAGCGGCCGTCTGGTCACTGGCCTACACAGGGTTTAGTTCTTCCTGAGGGGTTGGGACCTAGGAATGCCCTGTCCCCCAGAGAGACGAGAAGGGCCGGTGTCCAGATCCCTGGGTTCCCCCTCAAGGACCAGATAGGGGGCTTGGTCCCGCTGAAGGGCCTCCCCACCCTGTGCCTTGACCCCAAGGGACCTGGGGGAGCCATGAGGCAGTCCCAAACTCCAGCCAGTGCCTGCTCTGCATCAAGGGGCTAAGGCGGACACCACCTCTTATTCAGCAAGTCAGCAGCCTGGGCTCAGGGTCCCCAAACCTCGAGGCAGAGTGAGGCAGGGACCTTGAGAGGTCTCAGGGAGGGCTTCATGGAGGAGGTGTCTGTGAGCACCGAGAGACAGATGCCACATGTAGGAGGGGGAGCTCGGCCAAGCTCCGATTCCTGCCTGAGCCGGCCTCAGGGATATGGCAGTTCTGCCCCCAAGCCCCTGTGCCAGGGGCCTGTGGTGGGGTAGGCCAGCACTAAGGGGGAGCTGTGGCATTTGGGGGGTGGCATTGGGTCCCAACCCCAGCCTGGGTCCTGGCGAAGGCACCTGGTGTCCACCTAGCTTGGAGAGGGAAGCTGGAGGTAGCCTGGCGGGTGGGGGACGGCTCCTGCTGACACACAGACGTTCTGCTGTGTTCCCACATCAGGAGAGCGTCTCCCAGAAGCTTCCTGACCCCACAACCGTGGGCCTGGATGTGCTCAGCGGCACCGAGGGGCCAGGGGGCGGCTGTGGGCACCTTCTGGGCTGCTGGTGGCATTCTGCACTTGGTGGGCTGCTGACCCCCATGGCCATGCCCGAGTCCTCACGCCCCACCTGCTGGGGATGGGGACTCGGAGCTGTCACATCCCCAATCTTGGATGTAATCCTCAGTTGGGTGGGGAGACATCGCTGTATCCTGGAACCGTGCCCAGCCCAGAGTGGGCACACAGGTCAGTGCTGAATGAGAGGAATGTACACGTGAGTGGGTGAGCATAGAGCCAGGCCAGGTGCGGGGCAGTGCAGAGGCGGCAGCGCCCGCCGGCTCGAGAGGTTTGCGCAGGTGACCTCTGTGCTGGCACTCAGTGCGTAAGCGCTCACTGTCCATCGGCAGTGGGCAGAAAGGGCCTCGGCTGCAGTGGCCTCTGGGGCTCCACGGGGCCAGGCCACCCGGAGAAGGATGGAGGGCCTGGGTCTGAAGCCAGAGCTCCTGGAGATGCTTTGCCCAGGGTCTGGCTTGGACGCTGAGGGCCCGTTGGTGGCCCGGCCTGGCGGAGCCCCAGCACTGGGCTCTGGCAGACAGTCTAGGGAGACGGACGAGCAGAAGCCCTTGTTGGCCCTGCCCAGGCACACGTCCCGCTGGATCTCTGCCCCCACCCACTCAGGTACCCACCAGGGTCCCCGTCTCAGGGAGCCTGGGGAGGTGGCCGATGAAGAAGGATTTGGGTTGGAGTCAGACCTGGCCCCCTTAGCTGCCCCCGCCGTCCTGCGTGACCTGGGGCCAGTCATGTTTCCTCTGGAAAAAGCCTGTCTGAGGGCGTGCTGGTGTGTGCGGCGTGGGCCTTGGGCTGCCGCGGGAGCATCTTCGCCTCTAGGGTCCCTTTGGGGGAGAATGAGGGTTACTTACTGCCTGTCTGTGAGGGGCAGAGAGGAGAGGTGGGCGTGGTCGGGGGCTGGGCCAGCGGCGGTGGGCGGTGCCCCCGCTGGCCTGTCCCTGTGTGAAGGAGACACTGAGAGTGGCATGGGGAGGGACATCGCGAGGCCTCTCTTCCAGGGTGAAGCGAGGCGTTCCCTCGCCCAGACGCGTCGGAAGCCCTGGGAACGCCTCTCTCTGCGTCAGCCGGCCCCTGGAAACTCAGTCACTTTTTTTGTTAGCCAATTTCCCGCGACCTGGACCCTGTGCGCACGGTGTCGGGGACACAGCTGGCTGCGTTTCTCCTCCCCAAGTAATGTGTTTTCCATGGCTTCAGGTCCACGGCTCCCAAGCTGCTCTCATCCGGCCCCCTGCCCACTGTACGGACGGGGAAACTGAGGCCCAGTGGGGTCCTGGGACTTCCTGCGGCATTTAGCATTTCGGTGGGTCAGGAACCACGTCTGCTGCGCCCAGACTGTGACTTGCTCTTCCCCGGCCTCACCTGTGCAGGGTGCTGGGGGCGGAAGGCCGTGCAGGATGCTGGGGGCGGGAAGGCCGTGCAGGGTGCTGGGGGCGGAAGGCCGTGCAGGGTGCTGGGGACGGGAAGGCCGTGGGAGTGAATGAGCCCTGCTCAGGCAGGGGCGTGAGTTGCAGGGCGATTCACGGGGTGGTGGCAGCCCCCAGGTGGACGAGAGGGCCAGAGCGGTGGTCCCCAGTCAGCTTGTGGGTGGGAGGCTCAGGGGGGTTGGGGAGGAAATGGTGGCAGTACTGGGGTGACGGCCATCCCAGGGTAGGGACAAATCTCCAATCCCTTGACTTGCCTCAGGCCTGCCTGGCTGGCTTCCAGGATACCTATGGGACCAGGGCTGCCTCCACCGCAGAGCGGGGGGTGGCCGGGTCCCAGGGCGCCGCCCTGGCGGCTGCAGAGGGTGGGCCCCTCCAGTCTCTGTGAGCACGTGTTGGTGGGATGCACATGGCAGGGGGAAACCGTGCCGGCCCGCATGGAAAACACCTTCAGCCACCCAACTGGGGAGATGTCGGAGGTGCCCCAGTGTGACAGCCTGGAATCCTCGGGCCGGGTTGGGCGGGAGAGAGGCCCCCCTGGGGGGCCTCACAGGTGGGCAGGCAGGCGGGGTGGGGGCGCCCAGGCAGGCCCATTTCTGCACTGCCAGGAGCCCGGCGGGCAGGGCCACCAGGATGGGCTGGTCTCTGGACCACGGGCAGGACTGGGCAAGATAAGGTGGTGCCTCTGCCAAGACTGGAGGTTGCCCCCTTAGACCCCGCCCGTAGGTGGGCTGGGCAGAGTGATGGCCTCCTTCCCAGCAGTTCCTGGGGAGGTGGGGGACTGGGCCAGACCAGGGCTGGCTGAGGCGGGGTGTGGGGTGAGGCACCAGGCACCAGCCCGGCCTGCATGAGATGCGGGGCTGCAGGCCAGGTGCTTGTCAGGGCCTGAATGCATAAGGCCCTGGGTGCACAGCTGCTGTGGCCCCGCTGGCCCCGGGGAGGGCTCCTGCACATGTAGCTGGAGCTTCAGGCTGCGCCCTCGGGAAAGGTGGGGGTCCAGAGGTCTGGGGCTGGAGGCACGCCCACGGCTTTTGCAGCTGGGCACCTGGGCCTCGCCATCCCTGCTAGCCAGTTCCCGCTTGGCGCCGTTCCTCTCCCGCCCTCTATAGGGGTGCAGCGATGCGCTGCCCATGGTCTCCCCAGGCCCGGCCCTGGTCCAGTGGAGAACATGACAGCGCTGGGTGCACGACACAGGGCTCGGGGACTGCAGGCATCGTCAACCCAGCGTCTCCACTTTGGTGCGCTGGCCTCAGAGGACCTGCTGCTCCCCATCCTCCCCAGACTGGCAGAACTAAACCCCATCGAGCCTCCTTTTCTGCTTGGGTTTCTTTTCCTTGTCGGTGCGGGCATGCATGTTTGTGCACGTGCATCTGTCCGCGCCTGTCCGCGCAGGGTTCTGTGTGTGTCTCCTGTGCCCGTTCGCACACATAGGGCTGTGTTTGTACGCGCGTGTCTGTGCGTCTGCGTGGGGCTGCCCGCGTTTGTGCGCGGGTCTGTGTCTGGGGCGGGAGCGCGCGCGGAGGAATGCGCGGGGCGGGTGGGCTGCGCGCATGGGGGTGGAAA